AGCACTGCTTAACAGTGATAACTTTGATCTCCAGCAGGGGTTTTAGGTTCAAACTTATATACCCCTCTGATCTTGCTAAACTCGTCGATTGACCTCTGGGAAGGTTTCAGTACACAAATGTACATATTGGCATTCACTTGGAGAGTGTTATTCCTCATTGTCCACTGATTTTGTCAGGATGCTGTTGAAATCACTCAGAAATGTGAGAATTGTGTGTTTAAGTTGTTGCTTCAAATGTGTTATGACTGCACTCTTGTATCCAAAACACAAAGGCTAACTTTCACAATAGCGCATCTATTGCCTCACCCGTCGACATCGTCGAGAAGTTCATTGTCAACATAAACTTTTTAAAGTGTCTCAGATAACGAAGGTGACAATGACATTATTATGTGAACATCATGGTATTTGCATAATATTGTTACCAAGATGAGACTGAATCCAGAAGTCACTCCTGTTTTGTTAGGCTGCACAAAGACCCATTTTCCTATGAACTTTTGTCTGCTTTGTTTCCCAGTGAGAGCGCAAATAAGGAAGTAAAATAAACTGTTTAATTACAGTTTCATAGATGTTAAATTAGTATCTTAAATTAAAATGTTTTTGTTTTTTGCGTCACAAAACTTTACAAAACATTGCATAAAACTGCAGCATCGCTAGTCCACGTAGCAAAAGGCTGTAGTTCTCATGAATGCGTTGACACTCTAGGTTTCAACACATTCATGCGTCACAATTGTGTCCAAACTTTTACTGTAGGTAGAAATATTGTACATGGTATTGATAACTGGCTGTTTCCCACTGGGTGGTTTCTTTGTTAAACACACTTATTACATTTTGCATTTAAAATATCCAACAAAATGTCACGAGATTAAAGAAATACTTCAGATTTTATTATTTTATTCGGTGGCTGAGTCCCACAGTCTATGTGACGCTGTTGTTGCACATTAGCAAGAAACACATTTCCCCTGCTTATTCTATTCACCAGCACCGAGAGGCAAAATCATGTCAATGTCTTATTATTAGTTCATTGTTTTGTCCTTTCCTTTTGGAATATACCGTGTGTTGGTAAAAAAGTAAATCACCTTTTTCTTTATGTTTCCAAGGTCTGAGATTGAGTGGAACGGAATCGTCAGTGGAATAGAAGAATGCCCTTCGTATACTTACACTGATGGTCTGAGGACTGGCTGTTATCTGCCAGTGAGCATACAACATTCTCTAAGCGTCTTGTTTAACACAACACTGAACAACAAAACTGTCAGGAACACCTTCTCTAAAGACCTCTTTCGCTTTGGTAAGCTGTGTAGTGGTCAGTGCTAATTCAGAATTTAAAAGTAATGCGAGGGGAAACTTGTGTTGAAATATTTTGTGCTTCCTCATTCAGTTTCTGGGGTTTGATTTGTTCTTTCTCTCCTTTCTTGGAAATATTTTAGCTGTTATCATGATGTGTGTGTGTGTGTGGTGTGGCGGCATGCATCTGTGTGTATCTAGTACTGTGTATTGTATGACACAATCTAGAACTGCCAACTTTTCGAAATGCAAAATACACACTGTTTTGCATTATGATTTGCATTCAAGGCACCTCTGGCCAGCTTGTACTAACTGCAACGTCTGTCTGTTATTCTCTGTGCAGTGAGACCACCGCCCCTTAACTGGAAAGTCAAGAAAAGTGGGAATCAATTTAATATTACTTGGGACTCTCCTGAAGTGATTGCAGAGGACGAGTGGGAATATATAATAAATTACACTGAGTGTGGTCAACTAAAAGTAAGAATAACAATGTGTGTTACGATTGTGGTAAAAAACGAATAACTGAAGCACTTAGAGAATGAGTTCCAGCATTAGAGTGAAGTTGGGGGACACGGTAAGGAGTTCAAAACATTGTGTGGGAGCTCGTATAAGACATGGGGTCCTTTGTGTTAAAAGATGTCTGTTAGAGGCTAACTCATATTTCAGTGGACAGATTATATAACCTTTTTTTTAACTGGGAAAGTCTTGGAATCCCAGAGGGTGAGGAGGAAGTGGCTAAGGACCAGCTTCCAGGGCTCCCTCTGGAACAGGACTTAGCTTAAATACAATCTTAAGCCATGCTAGCATGATAGCTCTTGGTTTGGGAATAATGGTAGCCATCATATCCAGAGAAAATAAGAGGAGAAAATAAGGAGAAAATTACAGACTTTTCTCCAAGCAGCTAAAGCAGCTTTTTATTTTTTTAAAAAACTCATCAGTTATAGTGGCGGTTGTTGTTATATTTGGCAGAAATCTACAGGGTCCCAAGTGGATGAGCCCAAATGAAATATTTAAATTTGTCCTTGATGGTTAGTTGCTGAATTTTGCAAACGCACAGATGTTTTAAGAAGTTTTAATCAACTGATTCAAGGCTCAAATTAATCGTTTCCCTCAAAAACTTTTCACAGCGTCCAATAATACTAAAAGAAAAAACATCATACCAGCTGCTCCGGCTCCCTCACTGTAGCTACAGCATGGCTATCAAAGCAAAGTATAGAGAAAACGGAGAAACACCGTGGACCGACCACCAGTATTTTGGTAAAGTCATTTTCTGTTTTGTCTCTTTTTTCTAATCTCGTGTTAATAAAAAACAGAATGCACTGACTTATAATAGTTTTTTAATTATAAAGGCCATACATTCTTCTCTGCGGTGGCTCTAGTGCAGAACATCTGCTAAGCAGAAGATAGTTTGATCCCTGGGTGTAAATGGGTGAATGAAGCCGCCCTGTTATTTTCTCTATTAAAAAAGCGGAAAAGGGAAAAGTAACATCAAAGGCTGAAACATGAAACAGTTTCATTGTTGCTGAAATTAATGCTTATATGTGTTTGCATGCAGAAGCAGACTCAGGCTTCAGTCCATTAGTGATTCTTGCGATTACAATCCCATTGGTGGTTGCCACCCTGACAGTCCTGACTGTGATTTGTTACCAGAAGTAAGTAAAAAGTCTCTTCTTACTGAATGGATCCTTTTGTTCGTTGGCTTTGTTTTGGTTTTATTTTGTTCTGCTTCTTTGGGGCTGCGCTAACCTCTGATATTTAACTGTCTCTGTGTAGAAACAAGGATGCTCTCTTTCCCAGAGTACCAGAGCCTCGGGATCTCCTCAGTGATATCTGCGACAACAACAATAAGGTGAGTGTTTTGCTCTTAGGTGTACTTGTGTGCTCGTTTCTCCTTTTCTTTTTCTTTGTAAGGCCTGATAGTGCATGCTTCTCATAATCACAGAGGTACTGCAAATTCTTAGAACTGCATTTGTTGTTGTTGTTGTTTTTTTTCTTTGAATGCCAGGCTACAGTTGGCTTTCTCTTAAACACGATCACATTTCCTTTTCTACTTCTTCTTCTTCCTCTTTTCAGACGGCCCTGTGCAACTTTCAGGCCATGGGGGTGGAAGAAGACAACTGTAAAATTGCTCTTGTGGTAGAGCCCAAAATCAGCAAGCCAGACTGGTGATGAGTGCCCGACCTCCCCTCGCGCTCCCAAAGAAGAAGAACAACTAGAAGCAGCTGCTGCTGCTTCAGCACTTTGTATTTAGCACTGCTAAAATCTGACGCCATGAGTCTCACAGGGAAATGCAACACTGCATGTCTTTATCATCCCTATGGAGTGACACACAACATATACCAACGCATTAAGTTGATTCTGTATTCACAGCATTTTGATCCCTTATCAACATGCTTTGTTTGCACACCGAAGTGGTTCCTTTTTTGGAAATCATGTCGGTTACATAATCGAGCCTAACACAGATGTCCATTTTAGTGCAGGGTCACAGTTTTGCATTGCACCGCCATGTGTCAGACACTGTGAGGCTTTTTGGACCCGATGAAACAACAACAACTGCAATTGGCAGCAGACAGTAGGCGGATGGTCGTGAGCTGAGCCTGAATGTCGAGTCAAATCAGAACAGCGGCATCCACGCATGTATCCCAACAGACTTACTACCTTTGCACCGCTTACAGAGCTGCGAAAAAGCATTTGCCCCCTTCCTGATTGCCACACTTAAATGTTTTGTCAAGGAAATATTAGCATTAGGTAACACAAGTGAATATAAAATGCAGGTTTTAAATCATGATTTCATTCGTTAAGGAAACAAATCTATCCAAAACTACTTTTTCCTATGTAAAAAAGTAACTAAAAAGTAACTTAAAATTGTTGGATGGCCCAAAATATGTAAGTGTGACAATCATTAAGTTGGGAAAATACTTTTTCACACTACCCCAATGGTGTCACTGTCACAGCTTAAATGTTTTTACTTCATATATATGGAAGACTTACTGAGCCAGTCTGCTGTTGACCTGTGAGCACTGTCCCTGTCCAGCTGCCATTAACTGTATTAACTGCCTTGGATTTCTTGCAGCCTGGTATGCTGTACATAAGAAACAAAGATTGCCCAGCTTTCTGAGAGTATACAATGTAATGAATGTATCACTTAGTTGCCTACTTTACTAAGAGTAAAAAACAAAAAAACAGGGAAAAAATTGCTGTCTTTTGTCTTAGACGGCCAGAAGGCTGAAAGGTTATACCCACATGTCCTTATGAATCACCAGCCTCATTGTTTGGTCTGTTAATGGACAGTATTCTGGGAAATACCTCAAGCTCTTGGAGGAAGGAAATGGTGAATTTTTTATCAGAAGCAGAGGCTGATGATTTAGCTTTTAACAGCACCATGTTTCTTCAGCAGGGCTTTAACAGAAGATATCAGCCTTGATGAAAGTAACACCCTGCGCTTGTTTACCTTTTTACTTTTTTCTCAAGTAGAGATATAAACCACCTTCTTAAGTTTCTTTTTAACTAATACTTTCACATTTGCCCCGTAGCCAGTCACACGGCTGATTCGTCACCTCAGTGGTGCTCACTGAGACTGAAACGCAGTGTAAAAACACAGACGTCTTTGTGTGATAGTGTTTAAATGTTTTGATGAAATTGTTATAGTGTTCAATGCTGAAAATAAGTTCACTTTATTTTACTTCCTCTGATCTGTTTTTTAAGTAAGATTGTTTTTCTTTTTTGTGGTTTTTACACATTTCTCATGAAGTATTGAGTCTTTCTCGTGTTTGTTTGGGTTCATGTGGGACTTAGATAAGCTAACTGAGCTTAGACTTCATGTGGAAAATACAGAAATCAAATTTCTCCTCTAAGTCTCAGCAAAAAAAAAGGTGAGTAAGTATGTTTTCTCCATATGTTTATCATCGTGTTAATTTTAAGAAGACTGTATACTTACTGCATATTTAGTCTTGTGTATAAATATAGATGGATAATAGATATAGAGAACTAACTGTTTATGTTTCTGTCCTCAACTGTTTCACAAGATTGGACCAAACAAGCTATTTGATGCTGTCTGTCTTTTATTCTTTAAAATATGCTTCCTGGCAGCTTGGGCCCTGTTCCAGGAGGGAGGTTCAACAAAACTTTGACTTTAAAAATAAACTCTGAGTTGATTACCTTTGAAATCGCAATTTTTTTTCCCCCTTCAGTTTTTAGATCCAGAACAGTTGTTTAGAGAAGTTCGATGAACTCTGAGTATATTTACTCTTTCATGTGCGTGTTCAGGATGTTTATTAAGTAGGGAAAGAAAAACCATCATCAATGGAGCTCCATTATCAGGATTGCCCGTGGGTAAATAAACAGCAACGCCTCCGTTTCAATGCTGTGGACCGAGGAATGTGAACACAGCGCAGACTGTGGCATTTATCTTAAACAAACAAGAGGGGAGAAGAGAGATTGTAATGAGCTTATCATCACTGACAGTACAAAAATTTGAATATGCAACATATCATTTTCCAGAACGTTCGCTGTTATTTAGTCAGCTTTAATTTTCATCAGATAAAGCCAGAATCCAGGCCAAATTCAAATTTGCCTCCATAATACGTTAACAGCGTTTTTGCTCATCTTTGCTGTACGTATGTGGCCGGTCTCTCTGGCCACATGGACAAACACCTGATAGGGGCACAACGTTCTCCACAGCCACTGTTTCTAGATGGCGGGGCAACATGGCGGCTTCTGCAAACCGGCGCCTGCTCCTGTTTATTTTCTACGTTTATGAGAATGCATGAATTTGTTGGCTGAGGTAACTGCACACATTTCAGTGAGCAGGAGGCCAAGATTTTTTTTATGTGTCGTGTGTTAGATTGTTTTTCTTTTTTCTTTTTTTTACACATTTCTCATGAAGTCATGAGAAATGTTCTCATGTTGAATTGACAGTTTGTTTGGGTTCATGTGTGGGACTTCCAGATAAGCTACTTGAACTTCAAGTAACTCCAGTTTTATGTGGAAAATACAGACATCAAATTTCTCCTCTAAGTCTCAGCAAAAAAATATGAAAAAGTATATTTTCTCCATATGTTTATCATCGTGTTAATTTTAAGAAGACTGTATACTAAATAATGCATACTTAATATTGTGTGAAAATATAGACGGATAATAGATATAGAGAACTAACTTATGTGTCCGCCCTCAACTGTTTCACAAGACAAATTGGACCAAACAAGCCATTTGATGCTGTCTGTCTTTTAGTCTTTAAAATATGCTTCCTGGCAGCTTGCTGCGCTCTTCCTGGGCCCTTTTCCAGGAGGGAGGTTCAACAAAACTTCGACTTTAAAAATAAACTCTGAGTTGATTACCTCTGAAATCGCAATTTCAGTTCCAGAACAGCTGATCAGAGAAGTTCGAGGAACTCTGAGTATGTTTGAAATCTATGTCATGTGCAGATGTAACTGCACACAAATCAGTGAGCATGAGTAAAACATGTTTTTTTCCTATTCAATAATCTCGAAAAATGTCTGACTGTGCCTTAGTGTCTACTCAGAGTTACTCTTTTTTCTCAGAATAACTACATTTTTAAATGGATTTCCAAATATCTTTGAACAACAGCAACAAATTTCCTTAATATACTATTGTGTTCTTTAATAGTTATTTTCCCCTTCTGTCATTTTGTCCTCATACTGTAACCAACATGCGCCTCATTCGTCTGTACGAGTATTACCAGCACATAATATTTTGTGATCGGAATTTCACAATTTTGAATTTCGTAGCAAACGGTTTCTCAGATCCACTTCTGCAAATTATTTTTTCAAGGGTGTTGAGACAGTGTCAAAACTTAGGCAATACCAACAAAGATTCAGAAGCAAAGTGAGTAAAGGCAGATCAAGTTTCGCTGATTAGGGTCTGATCTAACAGAAATCAAAACCGAGGTATAGCGGGCTCAAAGAGCGCCATGTGTCTGCTGCTGGAAGTAAACGGTTTATTTCCCTCTCTGAAGTTTCAGATCCCCTTAGTAGTAATGGCATCACACAACTTCAGAAGAACATGTTTCTCTTCAGTATAAGGAAGTTGTGTAATCTGCTTTATATAGAAAAATGTGTGACTTGGAGAAACCAAAGATTCTTTTCTATAAATGGTCTTCCTTACGTTTTCTGTGAAGCGGCTAGCTTCTGTTAATCTTTCGGTCTCTAAGCCTGCATGCGTGCGATTAAACGAAAGTCCAAATATCAGCACTCAAATTTCAAGCTGAGGGACGTGTCTGTGCTTGTGGACTCTGAGTCTTGTGTCCATTTTAAGGATGCCAGTTACATTAGACTTGGGTGGATGTTCCTTTGCAGGGTAGACGTGGGAAAACCGGGGCTGGTTGTCACATTGCTGGGTGTTGCCCCTTTAGAGGCCACTGTGGAATTCTATTGATATCATACAGATTGCAGTTTTCTTGGTTTTGATGTTATTGTATTAAAAGATGAGACAATATTTGTCTTTTATAAAATGGTCACTTGTTAAAAAGCTTTGATTTAAATCAGTTTTTCACTAGCCAGCTAAAGGTTAAAACGTTGAGAGAAATGTTTTTGTTTTTCTTTCTTTTCTTTTTGTTTCTTTGTTGGAACAATGGTTTGTGTCGAGCCATACACCAAAGGAAGTATGATGTTGATGTATTGTGTGCCAGAACTGATTACGTGTTGTGATTACCCCTGGCAATTCAAGGAGAGAGTCTAGATCAAGACTAGCAACCTTAAACTGGAGATCCCTGAAAATTTGCTTACCTGGATGATCGAGCACGCGTGGAGACTTAAAAAGGTTTAGAGTCGGTTTGACATTGATGTCATTCACTGTGGTTCTCGTGTTTACGCTGCCTTGCTCACTATTGCGCAGGTTACCTTGTGGTAAATCTTGCACAGACTGTTTTTGTCTTTTAAAAAATATAGACAACTGCTTTCATTAAAATAAATAAATAAATATAAATGTTATCATTGATATTTTTATGAAATGTGGAAGTCGTTTTGTGTCAATTCCTTAATTTTACTTCTCTTAATTCACAAGAATTACCACTGCTTCAGCTGATCAGCAATTCATGCAGAACAAAAAGTGTAGCAACCAACCCTACTGTCAGCAAGACAAGTGTCTCCACAGCTGTACGACGGGACAAAACCCGGAGTGACATGGAATGAATCGAGATGTCTCACTCTGTGGTTTCTGTGGACGTGCACAACTGGATTCTGATGCAACCCTGGTGTAATGTCAGCAGGATGTCAGTCTCTTTAGTGAGTCTGCGCACCATTTCCACTCGTAAACATAAAAACGACGGTGACGGTGGCCTGTAAAATTGACATTACACAGATATGAAATACTACACACAACAACCGACGTTTGAAAGCCATTTCATTTAAGCGTATTAAAGGCCGCCCGCTAAAACAGACATTTAATTTATGTGACGCTTAAGAAAAGCCTTTAATCGTTTTCGTTATTAAATCCGTCAACTTACCGACACTCAGCCTAAAAAATAAAACGTTTGATTATTTTGCTCCCACAAAAACCATTTTCGCTCTGTGGGGCTATTCTAATAGCTTGCGCTAAGATACAATAATAACGTTTAGCGTCTGGATGGTGCAGTTTCAAAATTAAAGCCCCAGTTACGAATACACGTTAAATTATTATCTGCAGGCTTCGCGGCTTTTATTTTTTAACACACTAATTCTGGATTTCCGCTTACACACACGCTAGCTTGACGCACTCCTCCCCTCATCGCTGAACAACAGCGGCCTCTCGTGGTCAAAACAAGGCACTGCCAATATGTCGGCTCAGAGTGGTCCTGATGCTGCGGGGATGCAGAGAGCGGCGGTATGAGAGGATGTGAAGTATGTAAACCTTGGCAGAGAGGGGTAATCCTGGCGCAGTCTCTGTGGCGCAATGGAATAGCGCGCTGGACTTCTAATCCAGAGGCTCCGGGTTCGAGTCCCGGCAGAGATGAGTCACTCTGTGTGCCGCACGGCAGACCTGCGATATTTTTCTTATCAAATTGTGAGCGTGACATTTTGATTGCAGATGATCATGCTATTAATAGTGAGCCTTAACTGGGAGCTCAGAAGGTTGATGTTCAGCTACACAGAGCACACAAACATAAATATAACCTCGAGTACAGATTTAATGCAGGAGCTGCAAACATGAGCCTGCCTGTTCTGTTCTGATATCACAGTCTGATTAGTTTATGCTCTCCTTACGTTACCTTATTTATGTCCTCTTTCAAGTCCTCACGCCTTTGGTACTGATTTAGTATTTATGTCTCCATTTTCAAGAAGCTTAAAACCCATAAAATAGATTTTATAGGTATATATATATAGCCATAACATCTTGGATTTTAAACATTGGGATTTTCCCCCCCATTATATTTCTGTGTTTAAAAGCTTTAGTAAGAGTTTGATGAAAGTCATTTTCCAGTACCTATGACCAAACATAACAATCCTAATCCAACTTTGCAATGTATTTTACTGTATGTACTGTACTGTATGTATTTTAATGTATTTTATTTTTTTTAAAAAGTGATAACATTTAGACTTTTGACTGTAGCCAGTGCAGTGTATTCATATAGCACCGCAAAAGCTTTTATCAGCCAGCATGTAGATGGCTTTATTATTATTATTATTGTTAGTATTAGTATTTTTGTTATCAAAATATGATTACCTCAGGTTTTATCATTACTGGATTTCACCGCTAACGTCCCCGGTTAAATGTGTCTGCGCGCGCATATATTTTCGGGCATCTTGCTCTAGTAGTGCTCAGAGAACGCGCAGGGTAGGTCTGGGTCCTGAACGCAAGGGGGCGCTCCAGCATCAGCGTAATCCCCGCTACTTACAGCGAGTCGGGAGGAACCAGCTCAGTGTGGAGACCTACTGAGCTGTGACAGCTACAGTAGGCCTGTCACGGGAATCCGTCACTAAAACCACTCTCCTACATGATGTGGCAAGAATAAGGACATGGGGTGTTTAGTCATCACAGTGGCATCGCTGCGCAGTCAGTATTATTCTAATGATGTCGCTGCAGATTCTGTTGCTATAATAATAATAACAACAGAAAAACTAAAAACCCTTGCTGTAACGCAATGCTTGTAGTATCTCCTCTTTTATTTCAGGTGCACTGTGCTTATATGTTGGTCATAACAACATTAGTTGTACACTACAGCCAATGTCAT